AGATTGAAACTAAATATTTTTTTGTTTCGAAGTTGAAATCAAGGCATATTCACTGCCAAAAGTCAGTTAAAAATTTTCCATATTATTCGTTATTTCTTATTTTATTCAAAGTTTTTGGTCAAATTCCAAATTTTCTCACAAACCGTATACTTTTCTTTAGTATAGATAGTATTTATTTACCTCATGATACGCTGCAAAACCTAATTAATCACGAATTTCTAATTTTATGTACTCTTGTTTCCGATTGTACCTCCCAAACATCCTTAAGTGTATCCGAAAACGATAAGTTTCTATTATATGGTATAATTTCGGTAGTTATTCGTTAGCTTTACTCAAAAGTAATGTAATACATAATATTAATTGTTTACCGAAAAATGAGAAAATCTACCAAGTAATTTTGTGAAACATTGACATATTCCATGTCCTGGAAATTATTTAAAATTAACTACATTGAAATAAACATGAATACAATTAATTACAGATTATTGGATATAGGTATTATTTGCAATAGTTAAAACGTAACTCGTTGCGGTTTTCGCATTTGTCATGCATTTTTGTAGCAGTATATTTGGGATGTTTTTGGCAACGTAATTAACGATATCGCTTTATGTGGACGAACGAATCCTTTTGTGATAGAAGCTTTATGGACTTATCATAAATGGTAATTAGGTAATAAAACATTTATGCATGATGCAACATTAAAAGTTAAATTTATGCAGCAAAACCAGTAAACATATCAGCTCAATACATGTTTTACTGACTATTACATTAAAATAACTCATAACTTTTAAAACGTTTAACAAAAATGATTCCCAGTTCTTAAGGGATATCAGGATCAGGCAATTTGCTGATATAATAAGGACATAACTATAACGATTTCGTGGATGGTAAGCGGAATGTCGTTTACTTTTATCGTTAAAGAAAAAGCAAGCAGTTAATAAATAACATCTACATCGCAGCGGTTTTCGTGACAGTTTATTAGGAAAGCAAAAGAATGATATAAACTTTATGTAATGATGTCTTTACATTAATGAGAGTTGAGAGATGGTTCCACTATCTCGTTTTACCAATCTTGCATCTCACCTTTCACGTAAATTAAATAAGTACAAAAGTACAGGACTTGGTCGGCTTACTTAAGATAGACTGACTTATCTTTGAATAGTAGAATCAACAACTAAATAATAAAATATAATCTAATTTTAATTTACAAATCCCTAAAGAAAAATTTGACAATATCAACGCACAGTAAATCTAATAAGATAGTTTATAAAGAAAGCTTTATTGCATAATAATATTTTAATTTCATTAATAATTTTTTCTAATGGTGTATGAGGTTTGTTCAAAAAGTATCGGGAATTTTAATTTCCGCGACGTACGTATACTTAATTTTCGATTTTTTTGTGGCATTATGTTAGTATTCATGTCTCTCATTTATACCGACAAGTTAGGCCATGTTGAATGTTCAGTTAATTTTTGACAGCTACTTTGTTTGCACGTAGTTTGACTCGTCTTCGATTTTTGCCTCTAAAAAATGGATCAAAGAATCTGTATCAAATTTTGCGCGCGGGTGCATTCCGAATGTTGACAGTGGCATATGGAGTAGAATAGTATTGGTCAATCGTCGAATCACCGTTAAAGAACTTTTTGAAGATCTAAACATATCGATTGGCTCCTGCCATTCGATTTTTACCAATGATTTGGGCATGAGACGGGTGGCCGCGAAATTCGTACCAAAATTGATCAATTTCGATCAAAAATAGCATCGCATTAACATTGCTAAGGAGCTTTTGGACTTTGTTCGCGACGACCCGAATTTGCTCCAGAGGGTCATAGCTGTTGACGAATCTTGGGCTTATGGTTATGACGTGAAAATCAAAGCTCAATCATCCCAATAGAAGCTGCCGTACGAGCTCAAACCGAAAAAAGCACGCCAAGTTAGGTCGAATGTGAAGGTTTTCCTTACAGTTTTGTAAATGGTCAATAAGGAATATTACCTGCAAGGAGGAGCTGAACAAGACCACAAAAAATATTTTTTTGAAAGTACTTCAAGTATATAATATGTGGTTGGGATTACTATGAGGACGTAATAGATATTCGTGAATAAATAAATAATTTTTGAAAAAAAAATTTATTACTTTTTATATTGGATGCATTTCTAAGTATTCTGAAGTATTGAGAACTTTCCGAGCTTCATCCTTACCTACCCCCAACCTAAAGTAACATCAATCTATACATATTTTCTTGATTATTTCTCAATTTTTGTGTACACTTTTATCGAGAGATTCATCATATTTGGGCTCATTCAGTTTTGTAATTTCAAACAACGAATAAAATATAATATGATAAGACAAACGAGCGTCGCGTCGCGTCTCGTCTAGTGGCAAATCTGTCATGATAATATAATACAACGAACGCGTACACAATTGACAATGGTAACGATGAATCTCATTTCGGGCCACATAACGAAAAGCAACTGCAATTCTCATTACAATTTAACAGGATTAGTCCGGAGTTCATTTGCTCGACAATTCCTTCCGTGTTATGTCGGATCAAATTATATATCGACCCGATGCGAAGCCCTTGCCTGTGTCTCTGCTGGCCCTTGTTTCGCCTGCGCCCGGCTGCTTGGATGAATGTATGGATGGTAGCGAACTGTTCAAACCCCTGCTATATTTTGATCGCAATTTAACCTTAACTTATTTGAGCAGGCTGTGTGAATGTATGTGTGTATGTTTTAAAACAATTTGGCACAGCCCACTTGCCTGTGAACGCGTAAAGTGAATCAATTTTGATTAAAATACAGGTGACGAAATTTAATCCCGAGTTATGTATGAACTCATCTTCTGTTTTACGGTTATTCGCCCCCTTCGAAGGGGTGACTGTATGACATTTGTGGGAGGATAAAGGAGATGGCCTGATACGGACCATTTTGAACTTGAAAAAGAAAAATAATTTTAGGTGACGATTTATTAAAATTCCGTCGAAAATAAGCGATTGGGTACTTTAGAAATTAGGTAAAGATTATTCAGAGTGTGTGTATGGAGCACGGCTCTCTATGGATGTGAAACGTTGACGAAGGGCGCTACGGAAAAAGGCAGGTTAGAGGACAGAGAACGTTGTGGAAAGTGGAAATCAATAAGGTAATAGGCGAGATAGATTGGTATTAGTACCTACACTTTCTCTGATAGGAGGGGCCATTTAGAGCCATATTAGATGCTGAAACAGGAGTTAAAAGGGGTAGAGGTAGATCTACACGCGTCCAACCAGTCCTTGGTTTTAAGATCTTACGGTGATGAGGTATTTGTTTATCTTGAACATTTGACGTTGCTCTTATTGCCCTAGACAAAAATTTTCAGTCTCTCCCCAGTCTCAGAGTCTTTCAGCGTCTCTGAGAGCGTCTCTCACAGTCATTCATAGTCTCTCAGTTATCGCCGAGGTGTTTTTATGCATCTCTCACAGTCTCTGTATGAGACTCGAACGATAAAATTGTTAATTCAGAGATTCGAATCTCTTACAGAGAGACTGAATGAATAAAACTGAACAATTGAGAGACTGGAGTCTCTCGTAGAAAGACCGGGATTTCTGAAATATATTAAACGTAGAAAATTTTAAGCATGTCTATCGAGACACCACTTACTGAGAGATTCGAGTCTCTCGTTCAGAGATTCGAGTCTCGTTCAGAGACTGGATACGACATGAGAATCTCTCTATGAGCGACTCGAGTCTCTCGTTCAGAGACGCTAAACAGTTTTTTTGACACTCTCTTGACAGTCTCTCTCAGCGACACCAGAGAGACTCGATGAGAGACGGAGACTCGAGTCTCGCTTTCAGAGACTCTGAGAGACTGAACATTTTTATCTCGGGTGCTAATATGTCTCTAATTGTTTTGAAATGGTAAACATACCTGTGGATAATCGCTTTCCTTCGTTTGATATCCAAAATGGAAGAAATAAGTTTTAGCACCTCTCCGCGCATGAAGATATCCCACTTTGATTAGCGGCGACACTGTGTGTCCGTCACTTAAAGCTTCCATGGTCGAATCACGAATGTTAATGGGATGTTGTATGGGTTTATCCCAGTCCGTGTATTCGTTGCGTACGGCGGAAAAAATTTCGTTCAAATGGTACACGTACGCGTTTCGAATGTAAGTCCGCAAAACGCGGTTTCGCTCCTCTTCTTCGAAACCGTACTGAATGTCTTGAGCACTAAAGTCGTTGTAGCTTTCGGTTGTAACAGTTCCCAACATTAGGTCGCACATGATGAAATTTTCACTGGCGTGTTCCATCGCGAACGATGGGTCAGGTGTTTGGGGATCGAGAGGCAGCGACGGGCCTATCCGTGGCATGAATCGAACCTTTTCGAGGTCGAGGTCGAGAAGAACTTTCAAAGGTCTAAAAGAAGGAAACAAAATTTATATTGGTCTTATGTAGCAAAACAGTGAAACAGAACAAAATTTTTCATCAAGTATTTGTATTGCTGAGCAATGAACTTCAAAAGCGCGGGTATCAATAGCAAGTCTGTTATTTTGTACCTTGCTTGTCATTTGGACCGCTTTAAAAGAAATATTTCAATTTCTAGTAGTTATATGAGAACTGAAATTAAATAAATTTGTACAATGTCATGATTCAACATTTACGCTTTTATTTTGGTGTTCAAGTCAGTTTAGTCCTTGCTGTGATTCAAATAACCATCGAAAGGATGGGTCAGCTGCAAGCGGTCGTGTAATTATTACTTCCTGCGCCTAATGAACTACATTTCTTTGAAACTAATTCATTTATTTGGACGCAGTTTAATTTTCTTTGAGGTTTGAAATTTGATGTAAGTACTAAAAGAAAGAATGCAAACAGTCGATCTATTTACTTAGTTTTCCTGGCTGGTATTAATTGATAAATTTGTTGTTATTTTAAATTATAGATAAACGGTCATGTTACTCGGCGCGTGGAACGGCAACCCACGCGCGACATATACTGTCCATGCTCAATACATTAGACGGCGCGTGGAATCGCGATCCACGCTCCGAATAACAGTCTACAGAATGAGAGAACGCCCTGTTTATTTATAATACCCACCGGCGGTGCTCGAGAAAGATCTTTCACGCACCAGGCCGCGCCGACCTAGTTACACGAGCGTGGATCGGCATTCCACTCGTCCATCACCGCCATGAAAAGGAACCAAAGAATGCGCTAGGACACGCAACCCACGCGTCGTGTAACAAGGGCTTAACGGGTTTTACGTGTGGAATGCCGATCCACGTTCCACGCGTCGTATAATATCGCCATGGAGCATGGATCGCCAATCCACCCGGCGTTTTACAGATGCATCCGATTTTAACGAAGGACTATGTAATTTTTAGGTTCTATCTGTAGTTATCTTGGATTAAACATAATTATGAATTATGATGTAGGCAAGCGCTATAAGTATACCACCTGTCTAATAAGTTTTCTCTATCCTTTTAAATTAATAATTATACTAAAGTTCTTGATACAATATCCCAAAGGAAATTTTTTTCTTGTTACTGTCATTGAGATTCATTGTTCAACTTTCATACGTTAGCTCAAGCACTACTTTCTCAAACGATATATGTAAGTAATTTCGCTATTGTTCTACGTTGAACTACTACTCTTTTATATTTGTTAGGAGTTATAAAGTGCAATTTCGTTAAATGTGTATTATTTGAAGTACGTCCTAAAGTTGTTTTGTTTGTTTCTTTTGCAAGTTTCGAACTTAAAACTTACCAAAGGCATTAGCTGATGAAGTCGAGTTAGAAACTTTTGAAAACGTAGACCTACATGTACAGTATGAATTTTCTAAATTGATGCCCCCTACATAAGTAGTGATATTTTGGAAATCCGTAATAATGGTTTATGTAACTTCTTTTATGGTTTCAAATGTGCTACCAGATTTTTTAATAAACCTTTTAGTATGTAAGGGGTGCTCGACGTATATTTAGATAAAAGAGAGAGAAACAAATTTATTTTCTGAGGTGACCAGTGAATAAGCCACTTTATATTTTCCTTTTGGTTGTAGTTGATTGTATATTCGTTTACGTTTACGTTAAATTTAATTGTTTTCAGTGTTTTAACGACTTCCTCTAGTGGGGAATGCTAATTCAGCTACTGCTATTGTTTCAACCTATGCTCGCTAAAGGAGGAATCATAATTTTTAAGGAAATTAGATTAACTTGGACGGTCACGTATTGGCGTTAAAGTTTTATTGCATTCAGTCGACAGTGAAGGATAACTGCCACTTGTTTATTACAGCAGTATTCAATTTATTTGTCCTATATAAATCTAACCCTAAATTTCATCATGGCACAATTCAAAATAGTACGAAACTTCACAGAATTTAAGGAGAAACTTAAACTTCAGGCAGTTTATGAACAATAACATAAAATACATAAAAATGGATACATTTACTTGACTACTACCTGCTTTTATATATTCTATTTTTTGTTTAATCATATAGGATCGCAGCAATTGCATCATTAATAGTTTAAGTAAAGACAAGTAATTACCTTGATCTTAAACATGGCGCAATGTCTTCATCGATTGAAACTTCATCAGAGTTTAAACAACCTGCTTGTTTTGCGACAGTTTCTCTAATAGTATCTGAATTGTGTTGAGTCGCCCACGGACTTAACGCTGTTCCACTTAGAAGGATGACTCTATTGAAAAGTCCTAAAAGTGTACAAAAAATTATTATATTTGTTTAAATAAAAAAGCAATAACTGCATCACTGATTCTAATAACGTCGCAGCACTGTAAGGATTAATTGTAATAATTTTTCTAGATTTGAAAAATGTTTTCCCATTTTTATTTCGTAGTACTAAAATATGTAATCTAACTTCTTAAAATTGCTTTCAAAGTTTTTTTGGGGCATGAGAACGTTGTAAATATATATTATAAGANAAGGATGACTCTATTGAAAAGTCCTAAAAGTGTACAAAAAATTATTATATTTGTTTAAATAAAAAAGCAATAACTGCATCACTGATTCTAATAACGTCGCAGCACTGTAAGGATTAATTGTAATAATTTTCAACTAACGATTTTTACAATTACTAACTGTTTGAAAAATGAATTTGATTTTGTTATATTCAAATCCTATTTCTAACGGAGAATGGCACCATGGGTACCGAAACGCGTTCCTAATGCGTGTAGGTATCATACTTTTAAAAATGTTTTGCGTGTGGAATTTGGACTATAGTATTTTATGTAGGCAATTTGGTTATGAAGATAGATTTCTTGCTAAAAGATACTGTCGTTTTAACAAAGTTATTACAGGATAAGTATTATAGAGGTGAACCCACGTTTCGCAGTTAAAAGAAATGGAAGTTGAATATTTTACGTTAAAAAAACAACCGATAAAAATTCAGTTACAGTCTGTTTCTTTATCTAATTAAGTAGGTAAGACTATGAAATAATAAAGTGGATGCAAATTATTTATTCGATGAAAATTTAATTATTATTTGTGGAACAGTTTCTCCGGTTTTTACGAGAACCACATTGAATATAAATTGGCCTGTTACTGAGCTTTCGTTTCATTAGCTTATGAATACCAAGTAGGGAAATTTTTGCTCCAATATCGGAATCCATAATTAAAATTCTCTCCTCCTACCATAAATTAAATTATAGGACTGGGGTCGAAATTTCCGAGGAGGAGTTCCAAAGTAAACCGTTTCGGAAAGAAAGTCAAATAAGGGAGAGCCTTAATATTTTCGAAAATTAATTTTCAATATGTTTTCCGAGTAGAACGAAATGTAAACTAGGAGACGGAGACAGGCGCAAACGTTTTTACCCTTCGAGTTTGGAAGTATCAGCAGAATATTTGCGATTGCAGCGCCAGTATCGTGTCCGACCAGCGTAATCCGTTTCGGATCCCCACCAAACGATCCGATGTTTGTTTTTACCCACTTCAAAGCTGCCGCAACGTCCTTTATTCCAAGATTTACACTGTAAGGATCCTTGTCACCTGATATCGGCCTCGTTCGTAAAAATCCTGCAACGAAGGATACAAAAATAAGTATGTGTGTCACAAAAGGATTCGGTTAAAAGGGAGAAACAGCGGTAGAACTCGTGTTCTTTATAAAAAGTCACCCTTTCTAAGGGGGCGACAGTTTCACGCTTTATTCTCTATATATGTAGGTATTACGTATTCAATGAAATTCAGAATTTATTAGAATAATTGGGGTGATGTATTTTAAAAAGAAAATCTGACCATTCCGTAAAGATATAGAAAAAGGGAGTAATAATAATAGGGATGAGAGGGTGTAGGTGGCTAAGGGGAAGGGAGTAATTATGGGAAGGCTATAGGTGTTAGGGCAGAAATTATGTAAGGTTGATTGAGGTAGGCGACTGAAGTTACTTAATGTGATAGTGAGGATCGTAGTGACTTATGGAGTGATAATATGGGGATGCGAGAAAAAAAGCAGATATAGGTTTTACGTATGTTATAAAAGATGCATTATGGGGTTGTTGCAGTTAGAGAAAAGTACACCAGATTATGTAATAAAAAGGAGTAGGCACAAAATGTAAGAAGATGTGGTAATAAGAAGCGATAAAAAGGATATAGTAAAACATGAGGAGAGCTTGAGGAGGCTAAAAAACGGGGATATAAGAAAAAATGGGGAAGAAGAAGGTATTAGAAATAAGGACGAAAAGTATATATGATAGAGAGAGAAAAGGATAAATATAGGGGAATACATGAGGTACAAATGCAGGGAATGATAACGAAGAAAGAAAATAGATGAGATAAGTTATCTATGTAATGGTTTTGAGGGATATTTTGTGAAGGAAATGACACGGGGATTGGGTACCAAGGCATTTAGAAGGAGGGAGTACCAAAATTTGAACAGAGAATGAGTGTAAGGGATGTAATTATTAGATGAAGGAAGAGGACGAACAGTGTAGGTAAATGTCCGGAACATGTCCTAGAAGGATGCGAGGATAGTAGGACTTGGGAAGAATGGTATGAATTTGTGAATGAAGATGATGATAAAAATAAATGTTGGAAATGTAAAAAAAAAAAATTGTTTTAATAAANTGTCAAGGGTAAAAGCGCCCTCCTACGAGGTTCCGTTTCGGAGTTATGGCTGTCGGAAGTTTTGGCCAACTGTTATTTTCCAAATCGAGGATTAAATGTTTAGGAGAACATATCTGACGAACTATTAAAGATAGCGCAAAAATTCTTTCACCAGCGGTTGGCCCGTACCAAAGTGTACAGGAAAAATTTACTTTCGAAGAAAAAAAAGTTGAAAAATTTTTAAAAATTTAGAATTTTTCATCATCACCGAATGCGACCGCATACGGCTCAAAACGTTCGCGCTGAGTCGGGGCATCCGCCTGTGAAAGAATTTTTCCGATAGGTCCTACCGTTTTCCAGCCACAGCTCGCGAAACGTCAAACTCAGGAGCTGCGCGCTCGCGAACATGGCCGCGGTTAAAAATCCATAGCTCCGCAGACGTACGTCCGATACGTACCAAAATGGGCTCTTTCGAAGCCCAATGAATGGGGCAAGTTTTCGACGAAAGCAGTTTTACATCGTGACACTCCTGATCTGCGCCAGAGCCGATCCAATTCGCGGAATTTGCTTTTTGTTCTTTTTAGCGTTTTTCTGAGGTCACAAGATGGCCCCTGTTTCCGGACTGCGTTGTCTGATCTGAATGGGAGTGTTACTAAAATTTTCTAGAGAAACTGTGCTTTGCGTCAACGGTAAAAGCGCCCACCTACGATGTTCCGTTTCGCAGTTATGGCTGTCGGAAATTTTGGCCAAGTGTTATTTTCGAAATCGAGGATTAAATGTTTAGGAGTGCATATCTGGCGAACTATTACAAATAGCGTAGAAATTAATTCGCCAACGGTTGGCCCGGAACAGGGCTCGTTCGAAGCCCAATGAATACGGAAAGTTTTTGCCCGAATTTGTATAAATAATATTAACGTTAAAATAATACTGAATTACCAGTGAAGGATTGAAAACGGGAAAAATTATGTTACTATTTTAATTTAATGCAAATACGAAATATTATGAAAATATCAGGGAATGTAATTGTAATAATTCAAAATTGTATTATTCTTTTGGAAAATCCTTGAAATTATTTCAGTTATAATTTGATGAAAATCTTCAACATATATTTTCTTTCTATAAACAAGCCGACATGAGTAAGGGAACTATTAAAAGTATTTTTTAGAGATATCTTTTCAAAGGTTATAGAAAGCTCAATAAAGTTTCAAATTTGCGCTATTCGTCAGAAGGTGTCTCTCCATATGATATACTAATAAAAGAAAATGCAATGAAAATATGATGGGAGACTAAAAGTGGAAACATGTGGGAAGAAGCGATAAAAAGGATAGTAAAATATGGTGAGGTGTTGCGGAGGCCCGAAGAAGAGAACATTTAGGAAAGGCGTATGGTAGGAGAAGGTAATGGAAATAATGACGCTTTATGTTAGAGAGAGTGTGAGGGTGCTCTAAAGAGAATATGAATCAATCAGGAGTGATTTAAGGATGTGATCAACATATGGGATTGATGAGAAACAGATACAGGGAAATGACAAGGGGAGAGGATCTTAACAAAATACAGGATTCAAGAAGCGTGATGGTCTGAAGGGAGATTTTGTGGAATGACTGGCAAGGGGATGAAGTGCTAGCAAAATTTAGAACAAGAAATGAGTGTTGGGAGGTCAATACTGGAAAAAGGAAGAGGACCAAAGGTATAGGATATCTAACGAAAGTAGAATATCTAAAACAGGATAATGTGAGAATGGTAGAACATGGGAAGAATAGTATGAATTGATCAATGAGGATGGAGGTGGACGGAACCGACTGAAGGAAATTTTAAGGAATTGGGGATCATTCTTTTTGGTACAGTGAAAAAGGTGTAACAAAGGAAGTTGGTGGGGGAATGAGATTAAAAATAAGTGTCGGAAATGTAGAAAATAACTTTATGTTTTAATAAAACTTAATAATATAATTATATCCAGCCGTTACTTCAGAGGTTTTCGATGTGTTAGTGTACTCATTACGCGAGTCCAATTATTAGTCATGTAGACAAAACTACGAAGAACTATATCGATACCTAAAATAATATGTAAACAAAATTTCTTTGCTTCATCTGAAGTTTGATGATGCGAAGATTCTCAGGTTCATAATTTTACCTTCATTGCTTACCATATTTTACTGATTCCTTAACGAAACTTTATTTTTCGATCTTACAACAAGATCGATTACCACGTTAATGTATTAATAAATTGACTCTCCTGCTCGTCCTGATTAAGAAATATCGCAGGCTCAGAGAACAGCCGCCCTCGAATAACAAGGTTCTTAAACAACAGATTTGTAAGGCTTATAGTTGAAGTTACAAGGGCGTGTTTTAATAGTCTTTAATGAAATCGTTTCCAAGTTACGCATTGTTTCATATGCATATTCATTAAACCTTAACTAAGTACTATTAACATTGGATTATAGATCCCTCTGGTTTTCATATTATTATTGTTACAGAAAGTGTAACAGTGAAAAATTAAAAGACAAAACCACTTAACCAGTGACGTAATAATTTATTAATTACCAAATAGACTAACGTATGATATTTTATGTAGCATGGAAACAATTTTTGAGATTTTCTGGCATTTTGCTTTCACTATTTTTTGGAATTAATAAGTGCGAAAAATTCTTTCAAATACTGAAACAACATCGGAATTGCTCTTTATAGAAAAAAATGTGTTTTATAATATGATGAGTCCTTACCTTGTCTCAGTTTTTTCTTGTTCTCTGCGCGTATCATCTTGGAAGATCTTACATTTTTAAAAAGATTAATAATAAATATCAGAAGCCGTAGGGTATTGTATGAATTCACTAGGAAGGTTATTTTTGGCAGCCACAGTCAATATTTGGTAGATAATATCAAAATGATATTTTTTATTATTTAGAAAATATGGAAATTTTTTAATTTTAAAATTGTTTTCATATATGCACAATAGAATAGTAAAGAAGATAAACTATTTAATATGCAAATTTAAAAGTTGATGTGGTCGAGGTGTACGACGCTGAGCTGCCCTAAATCATACTTATCCTACGGAAATCGAATAGTAAACACTTTTTACAAAGGGGAAACACAAGAGAAATGCTATGAATAATTTTGCATTACAAATCTGTTATCTCGTTTTAGAGGACATGCATGTATGTATAAAAGCGTTAAAATGATTGTTGGATTATAGTTGCGAAGCACAGCATTTTATGTAAGCTACCGAAAATGATAAACTGTTATATTTGTTAGAATATCCGAATTTTAATTAAAAAGTCACTTTTCCAACCTGTAAGGAAAAGCACTTCTTTGATGGCTCTTCCGGTGTACTGCTGTACCACATTAAAATGAATCAACTCTTCTAATTGGTTTAAAGAATTTAATTCACTTAAAAATACGGATATATACAAATAAATACAAAACTTAAACTACCGTGGAAACTTATGACGAATTAAAATTAACTAAATAAAAATGGATAAGATTGAATGAATTATTTGAATGTTTAGGACAGCGACTTTTGTAACGAATTATGAATGATGATGTTGATGTTGTGAAAAGCTTGTCAAGACTCTCTTTGGTTACTTAAACTTTTTAAACTTTTGGGTGTTTCATTCCCACCAGCCAGTAATGCTGGTGGGCGGGCAGTCCCTCCGGGCTATGCCGGAAGGTAGGGCGGAAGGCCCTCTTCAGCCTGCTTTCAGGNTTAAAACAAACCCTCGAATCAAAATCCTTTCCTTCGCTTTTTTTATGCATATATCTTGAAGGCATTGCTTCAATTTTTGGAATCAAAAAGGCTCCTTTATATAGATACCACATAATATTCATACGTACAATAAAGTCCGTTTGGACTTTTTGGTGCGATTTGCAACACTAAATGGACATGAATTATCCTTCCGTTATCAAGCATTCATACACCTCTCACCGAGTGTATGTGTTTGCCTCACGGCTTTCTCATAAATTTAGACGCGTTTCTGCGGGTA